AAAAAGAAATCTGTGGAGATACTCATATTCCGAAATAATAGAGATGAGTGGAGATATGTAATTATCGTAACTTTAAATTTAACGATAAGAGAAGTTTAACAGGATCGACGATTAAGAACGAGCAGTGGGGGATAACATCGCTAAAAAAAAACGTGCAAGATCGGCGATGCTTTGGTGAGCAAAAAAAAAAAAAAAAGGAGTCGACAAATAAACGCGCGCGCGCGAGATCGACGAACAATGATGGCTAATCGTATATCGTAAGACGCATTTAGCGCTAAACATGACTATACTAGTCAATGTTTTTACATCATCGAGAGATTTCGATCAATCTTTCGATTAAATTTTTGAAACGTGACAGCCCCTTTTAGCGACGCTACGTCCTTTAAACGTGTGTATGACGTCTTAAACAGAAACATAAATATAGACCAAAAGAGAAGACAAATCGATGAAATGCGCGTTTTAACGCCGAATGCGACAGTTACATTTGAGAACGTTTAGAGATGTTGCACCATTTAAGCTGCATTCGTCTTGACGTTCAAGCTACAATGTCAAGACGAACGCAGTCACAGGATGATAGTGGAATTATACGAAAAAGAGTCGGCAAGCCCTAAGCAAACTAAACAAACGCAGGACGTATAGCTCTACGTGGGGGACGGGGAGAGGTTTTTGCTGTTTCCTGTTGTTTTGCTGTGGACGGTGGTGGTGACGGTGATGACGGTTATTGTTGTTGTAGTAGTTGCGTACCGACGAAGTCCGACGAGAAAATATCTTTTAGCTTGGCTTTCTTCTGAAGAACCTGGTCTTTCTGCGTGTGGTATACTTTACCGCACAAGGGGGTTCCGCATTCGCGTAGCATGAGAGAGAACAAACAAAAAGAGATTTTGTTGTTTTTTTTTCTGCGCCTAAAGAGAACATGAGGAGGATATATAAAAGATCGTGATCGCGCGGTGATCAGTGGCGTAAAGCGGGGGTGATGCGGTGGCAAGTTGCCACGGAGAAATTGCCGCTCTTGCAAATGATGGAAAGAAAATTATAAATTAGAAATAACCTGTCCCTGAAGAGGTTAAAAATAATTGTAAGGTCTCGTTAGCGGATGACTCTGGAGTGCGAACTTCGTATCGCTTCAGGGACACGCGACGAACGTAGTTATTAGCGTAATTTTCAGTATTAAATCATTGCCCCATGTTCCGATATATGACGATATTTCAGAAACATAATAATCCGGATCGTAAAAATCAGGAAACCCGCTGACAAAATTTCCTTGACAAATTATCACTTTTATATATCATATATCATATCACTTTTATATATCGCGTTGAAGATAAACTTCTTTGTGTGAATAAAAGAGATTAAGAATCTAAAATAATTCGTTCCTGAAGTAGATAAAAATAATTCGTTATTATCGCTGGGCAAACATTTAATTTTTTATTCGTAGGACTAATAAAAGAATGTATTCCTTCAAAATCGCATCATGTAAATTAACAATTACTTTTTTTTTCGCGAAAGTTTTACGAAGTTTGTATTGCTTATTAATTGCTTTTTTTATTATATGATAAATAATTACATGATAAATACGCTATATTCATTAAATAATGTATTATTATAAATATATATATATATAT